ATTGTTCTCCCTGTTAGAAAAGTTCTCCTTACCTTCTAGGTGGGATCCCTCTTTAACATTGTTTGGAGCAGGTTATTCACCACCTTGTGCTGGCAGATCTCTAGTTAGGCTATACAGCGGTGAAAGAAATCTGTGGGATTCCCTCTCAGTCAGCACGCATGTTTTTGGATAGGAATCAGTAGGCAAATAGATAATGCACGCAGCCTATTGGCCTTTGCCTGCTTTCTGCAGGAACTCACATTGAGGTGGGTCTGTGACCTGGATGGGAGAAGTAGGAAGTTGTCGAAGGCCAAGTTGCTAACCACGGCTGCAAGCATCTGCTGTGGAGTGAATCATTGGGAAGAAAGCATGTATCCGCGGGCTGATATTTTTTCCATGCATATGTATCCTACCCGTGTAACTTTCTGGGCTGAGCATCTTTTGAGCACAGGCTAGCAGAATTGGTCCCACAGTGACTGTGTGTTTAAATAATCCAACCCACTCAAAGTCCTCTGATGTCCTTCACCACAGTGTCCTTCACCACAGTGAGGTTCTCAGAGCTTGGGGCTAAGTCCTAGCAAACTCATACGCGCTGCTCTTTGGATGAAACTCCTGTTACCATAACAACCAACACACGATGGGACCCATGCATCTAAATGGAGGACCAGGAGGGAATCATTGATGACTCTGTAGCGTATTTATACCGTCTTCGCGTGTGGCTCATTTACTGCTCAAATATCTGCATGTGTCAATGGAAATGAATCCCACCAGTTCATTCTGATCGATGATGGTAGAACTCCGCCAGATGGTCCCCCTGTCTTCTGATGCAGCTCCTGCTTCCTTCACTGAGGACATGAGACATTAACCTTGTATAATGCATCCCAGTGCAATGAGTCATGTGTACACATTCTGCTCCTTGGTATTCCTAGCCACATTTCTGCTGACTGAATCCTGACTTAAGAGTTTCTCTCCAGGACCAGAACGTAACAGAACTCAGTCCTTCCTGTGCTGAGCTCATATTTTGCTGTCGTAAGAAGTAAAGACGACTTGCCATTTGTTGCCTGGATCAGATCTTGAAATATTTTGGCCCTTGGGCTTTCCCCAAACCTTCTGAAATGTGGCTATAGTCACTCCTGATCAGAAGGAGGCATTATAGATCTGTTTTCCTTCTTGTAGGAACTTGTCCGGCGTATGTTAAGTAATATCTATCCCTTATCGGAATGTGAGCTCACAGGCATTGCACTTCGATAATTACACTGCAGGGTGTTTAGCTTCTAGATTTATCTTTGTTCTGGGGATCAGCAGCTTGTAGGAAGGGAGATCTTTGGATGCTATCAGTGATATGCCTGATAGCCATAGGAAAGGAATCTGTACCATTTGCAACACTTCTGAAAAGGACAGCCCAAAGAATAGTTGGAATGAGGGGTCCTTGATGCTCTCTGAGCTTGGTTGTTTTTATGTAGACACTTCATTACCAAATCGGCAATGATGATGTTACCTAGTTTAGATAATGAAACATCTGCAAGAAAACAGTCAGTCTCAAAGAGCTGTAAGGACCCCTCTTTTCAATCCTGAGTTACAAATATTCTCCTTTATCCATAGTTGGAGTCTTCCCCAAAATTCTATATTACGGGACAGATGATAGAAATGTGGGCTGAAAGGAAGCCCTTGAAGCCATCAGCTTCAACGTCATGCTTCGTGCACATGAAAGTATCCCAACGTGGCTTCTCCACTTCTCCTTGAAGGAATGCAAGATAAAAGCAGAGGGGCTCTTGATGGAGTTGTCTTTAGTCCTACACCAATGAACATGTCTCCCAGCCCTCCTCAAACTTCTTTCCTACGCATTGGACCATTTTCTTTCCCAAAGGCCCGTTTCCTACATTTCCCCTGCTAGCAGTTCTCATTCCTTTGCATGAAAGCGATGCTCTTTTAAAATGTCATTCAAAGGACCAGAAACTTTGAGTGATGTTCTCATGGGTGGTGTGTTTTATTTTGTTGGTGATGGGCGAGTGAGGAATGCGTGTGAAGGCTTTGTCTTGCATCCTTGCAATCCCCTTGTTGGCTGGCTGCAGCTCCCTGATATCTCTGTACTTCTGAATAATTCTTAGAGGCAACCTTTGAGAGAACGCTTCCAATGTGTGCTCATTTAGTAGGAAAACAAATTGCAGCGACCATAGTCACTGCCAGGGTAAACAAAAATTTAAAAAACTTACTTGTGAGAAATATGAAATAAATTCTCAGCCACCCTGGGGCATCCGTGGAAAAAGAGAAGTTTTATTTTTGCAAAGGAAGAAAAATGTGAAGAAATTACAAGGCAGGCACCCAGACAGCATTATTTTATCCCATGAATTGAGGTTAGATCAACTCTATTTTAAGAATGCGTGAATTAACCAACACTATGAGTGTCAATGCTTCTTGCTTTCACATTGCGTGTCTCTCCAGTTTGTAGTCCCTGAGTTAATCCTAGGTGTATACAAAAGAGTATGCATTTGGGGATCAACTTGATTTGGAGAAAATATGATCTTGTCAGGTCCCCAAACTAAGAAAGATAAATAGGGTTACTTCTCAGCAGTTTCCTTTATTGCTCTTCACCTACAGACAGAATTTTTTTCGAAATGAAAACAGCTATTTGCATTACCATAAATATACCCTGAGAATTGTTAGGGAGGAGCATTCTTAACTCTCTTTCTCCCTACCAAACGATCTAAACTTTGGTGTCTCTTGGCCCTCCGGAATGCAGCCCCTCCCTCCTGGGAATTCAGACTACATTCCACCACAGATCTTCAAGAAAACAATTAGGAATTTCTTGAAAAGGGGTCCGTTGCTGGCTAATGTTGAATTTGTAGGATGGCTGTTGAAATAGGACATGAAGACAGATACCAGGACCAAAACAAGTGGTGTTGTATTTGAATTGTCTTCATTAATTACCTACAGCACTAGGGATCCTTCCCTAATTGCCAGGTGAGTTCAAGTGGCAGGGACAAGTCTGCGGAATTAGCTCAATAAGAGGTTGCTTTTGTTGAGCAGGTTTTATAGCCCTCCATCTCCAGAGTTGCTTAGTTTAGGATCAGCAAGGGAAGGATTTGGATTAAGTTTCTACCAGTTATTGGGCCCCTGCTTCAGCAAAGGAGGAAAGTAATTATCTGACTGGAGGATGAGCAAATGTTTGTTATGTCACCACTTGCAAAAGTAAATTGGGAAAGCTAGCTTGTCTAAGCTGGACTCTCTTCCAGCTGATGATTGAAAAATGCAGGTCAGTCACTTGTTGTTAGTTGGGAAGTCGTGTCCGACCCATCGCGACCCCATGGACAACGTTCCTCCATGCCTTCCTGTCCTCTACCATCTTCTGGAGTCCATTTAAGCTCACACCTGCTGCTTCAGTGACTCCATCCAGCCACCTCATTCTCTGTCGTCCCCTTCTTCTCTTGCCCTCCATCTTTCCCAGCATCAGACTCTTCTCCAGTGAGTCCTTCCTTCTCATTAGGTGGCCAAATTGGACAGTGGCTTTGTAAGGGGAAAATGTTCATCATGTATATATAAGATCATCCTGGCTCATCCTAAACTCTTTCCAGGGATGATTGGCTCTTGCAAGACCCTTTCCCAAAAAAATTCCATTTCCCCAACATTTTAAAGAACGGTTAGGCTGTCTTTAGTGCTGTTAAAGGCTTCATGGTGTTCCTGCTTCCCAATTTATCTGTGGAGATGCTCAGCAAGGAAAAAAGTTACAAACAGTTGGATGCCCCCAGCCATTTCAGGGAATTTATTAACTTCTGTGATGTGACAGAAATAGACAAAACAACCCAGTAAGAATATGTTCTTGGACTGATAAGGCTTCGGGAGAAGGTTTTGCAAATAAGACACCTGCAGTCATTATCAATTAAATAAACTAAAAACAAAAACATGCCTGCTCACAGTAAAGCCATCACAAAGAAATTAAGACAGGCCCCGCCTTAAGGTATTAGGAGGTAAATAAGTTCTAATGGAAAGTAGTTTAGTTGCTGACATTCCTGCCGCTCAACTTTCACTTCAGTAAATTAGTTAAGAAGATTTTGGACATTCTGGGACTGGACAGATAATTACTTGCACATTAAGTCTGCTGCCTAAGACCTTATCCTGTACAGCAGTTATCCATAACCAAGAGGCTTAAGGCAGAAAAGTCCCGAGGGAAAAAGGAGAGAACAAAGCTTGAAATACGCGTGAAAGTTTATGCCTTTTAATAACATTTGTTAGTTGGAAAAGGTGCTATCAGACCCCTTCTGCTTGCGAAGTTGAGAAATTGCTTCAGTTGGAAAGGCTCTGAGCTCAGGCAAGCATTTCAGATCCTGTGGCTGATGGATATTAATTCTCTGGGACTGTGAACAAACTAAAGAATAACAGAGTTGGAAGTCTCAGAGGTCTTCTAGTCCAGCCCCCCCCCCTTCAAGCAGGAGACTCTGTACCATTCCAGACAAATGGTGTCCAGTCTCCTGTGATGAAGCACCCACAACTTCTGGAGGCAAAACCCTCTCCAACCTCAGGGCAAAACAGCCTCTGAGAAAGGAAGATTTGATGACATTAAAAAAAATCACATGGACCCTCCCTCTGGTTATATTTGATTGGCAAGATGTATCCCCCCCCCCAGTCTTGAAATGCATGTGGGTTGACACAAAACTTAACATTCAACGTCAAACGCATTGTTGCTGTTGCTCCGCTGAATACTTTTGCACTTATAACTTGTCCTTTTCTGGTAAGTTCTCCCGAGATTGACAAGACTTCTAAAAGCTCACTGACAGCTGAGGCTTCAGGGAGATGACAGTCTACATAATTAAGAGGCATTTCTTTTTCCTTGTAAAGTCTGATTCTGTTAGAATGCCCGTTTTGACTAATTGTGACGTACGCACCCTGGAAAAAAAAATTTGGTCAGAGCTTCTCAAGAGTGGATGTAAACCGTAGTTAGTATCTGCCACAGTTACATGCCGAGGAGGTGATCGTAACGCCCTCCCGATCATTTTTTTTTTAAAAAAATCCTTTCTCTTAAACAGATGAAGCCATCGGAGATCGATCAAGAATTATTCACAGAAAGTTATTGCAGAGTATGCAGTGCTCAGCTAATATCGGAATCACAGCGTGTGGCTCATTATGAGGTAAGACGTGAGATGCTGGAGGGTGTGGGAAATCATGGTGTCTGGTTTGTTGTTTTAGGGTTGTTGCAAATTGGTAATCTAACAGTGGGTTTGAAGGAAGTATACAAAGCAGGAGGGTCCTCATTTTATGGTGGAACACAGACTAGAGGTGGAAGGGACCTTTGAGGTCTTCTAGTCCAGCATAGCTGACTCAGGAATTCTGGGAGTTGAAGTCCATGAGACATAAAAGAGCCGAGGTTGCCTACCCCTGTTCTAGTCCAATCCCTGCTCAAATAGGAGACCCTATGCCATTTCAGACAAATGGCTGTCCAGTCTCTTTTCAATACTCTCTGCCAGATTTGACACATGCTCTGCCCATTTTCTCATGTTCTGAATATCTATATGTGTCTTAGCTCAAAAGTGTAGTTGAAGCAGGCATCGTCAGAGAGTGAACACATTTGGAAGAGTTCCCTTTGAGGAGAGACATGCTTCAAGAACACATGCGTAAAATTAAATGTACTTTCTCTAGCAGCTTTCTTTAATTTGCAGAGTGATGCAAAATGGGTCATAATATATTTATACAGGGATATAAGTGAAAAGTGGTACCACCTCATAACAGAGACTTTTTTGTCCATTGGTGGAAAAAAATATACATAATATGTCTCATATGTTCTGATCACTGCAGTGTAAAAAAGATGTTGAGACTCTAGAAAGAGTACAGAGAAGAGCAACAAAGATGATTAGGGAATTGGAGGCTAAAACATATAAGGAATGGTTGCTGGAATTGGGTATGTCTAGTTTAATGAAGAGAAGGACGAGAGGAGACAGGATAGCAGTCTTCCAATATCTCAGGGGCTGCCCCAAAGAAGAGGGGGTCAAGCTATTTTCCAAAGCCCGTGAAGGCAGGACAAGAAGCAACGGATGGAAACTAATCAAGGAGAGAAGCAACCTAGAACTAAGGAGAAACTTCCTGACAGTGAGAACAATTAACCAGTGGAACCACCTGCCTCCAGAAGCGGTGAATACTCCAACTCTGGAAGCTTTTAAGAAGAGACTGGACAGCCATTTGTCCGAAATGGTGTAGGGTTTCCTTCCTGAGCAGGGGGTTGGACTTGATGACCTCCAAGGTCCCTTCCAACTTTATATTATTATTATTATTATTATTATTATTATTATTATTATTATTATTATTTGTGGAGTGTGACCTTAGGAATTCCTGCACTTTGCCAATCTTCGTCAAGCTCTGTAGCCCTTTTATTATGATGATGGTATGGCTGGTGAAGCAAGGTGTTCCTGAGAAGGCAGCCGAAAGCAGCATTATTTTTTTTCTGATTTACAGACAGACAATTTGTACCAATGTAAACTGCAAGTAGATTCCATTACTTACTTGACTTATTATTAGACAGCAGGCGTGGTGTAGTGGTGAAGGTGCAAGACCAGGAGTGATGCCACTCTGGTTGCATTTTCACCTGGAGGCAGGTTGTTCCACTGGTTAATTGTTCTCACTGTTTTCACCTGTCCACTGCATGTCTCACACCTCCCTGGTTCCCTCAAGTGTGGCTGTTGATCAGGAATATGTTCTCCATCTCTGCAATAAAGGCGAATCTTAATTTTTCACCTCTCAAGAAAAGAGAGAGGCGAAAACAGAAAATCTCCCAATTCTGAAATATCGAAAGCATAGAAAGGATACAGAAAGGAACGGGCACAGTAACTTGGCTTTGTAGGAGCTGAGACAATCAAATGCAAATCGAACGAACCACCCAGACACAAAAGAATAATCTTTTATACACGATAATTTTATTGCCAAACATGTTCTCTAACTGCATTACACGCTACCGTCTTGAATTGCTGTAATAAGATTGCATACTGTGCCTACAATTTCTTTTTCCACGCTGGTTGTTTCCTGATCCCTGTTCCCCCCCCCAAAAAAAAACCAGTTATTATAAAATCATTTTATAATAATTTGTTGCCTCCTTTTGAATGCAGAACTAACCGTACTGGGCTGGAATTCCTCTAAAAATGTTATAATCTCAGCTTTCTTGGTCCAGGCAGTCTTCTGTATCAGAATATATCAATTTCTATCTATCCTTTTCCAAAAGCACACTAATTGCTTCATTGCTGTTTTTAATATGCAGGTTTATTCCTGGCTCAGCTTCATTGCACTTTTGGAAGGCCGTAATTGTCACAATTTTTTTGGGGGGGGAGTGGAAATACAGAGGAAGAATTGCTCCATTTTTTAATGATGGTAGCAAGGATCACTCCAGTTCATCTCAGTTTCATGTTCATCACAGGGCATCAGGGTTTTGGCCCACTTCTCAGGGGACCAACTTGGGTAGGTGGGTGGGGAGTCAAGCTAAATTCAGTTGCAGAGGAGACAACCATGAAGTGCAGGTTTAAAACAGGGAAGATTCACATATGCAGGTCATCCTCGACCTATGATCATAACTGAGCCCAAAATTTATGTTGCTAAGTGAGACTTTTGTTAAGTGAGCTTTGCCCCATTTTTACGGCCTTTCTTGCTCCATTACTGAAGTGAATCACTGGATGAAAAGCAACAGAGTGTTCTTTTCAGTCTCAAACATGTTCTTTCTGAATGTCCGTGCTTGTGCCTGCCGAGTGTTTCAGCATTTGCCACCTGTTCTACAATCTGTGTGTTTAGCTGCCTCTCTCTTGGCAAGACTAAGCAACAGGCACCTCTCGCGATAGAAGGATGCTTGGTAGGGTTCGCTGTGTTTGTTTGTGTGTGGTTTTCATTTTGTTTTCTTCATTTAGTTTCACCAAGGATGGCGTAAGATGGGTTGTAAAACTTCTGTAAAGAGGCTGGACCATGAACTGGTTGGTCTTTTTCATATGGGGCCTATTTGAGATATCGAGAACTTCTCCTGGCTATTTCCACAAAATAAACAAAGTGCTACAGAGCTATAACTAAACACAATCATGCCATCCAAGGACCCCCTAAAAGGAATTCTAGAAAAATTCCCAAGCATCCTGAAAATTTCATACAAAACCAGAAACCTTTTTTTTAAAAAACAAAAAACAAAAAACACCACAAGGCAGATTTTGATAGCATTACTTACGATCCTGTTCATATACAACACCTTTTGAAGAAGTAGAACTGTTTCTCATACCTGCCCCAAAAACCTTGCAGTAAAATTATCCAGGCTGTATTGCGCTCAGATTTAATGTGGAGCCAAATTATTAATATGCACATGTAGCTTTTAAGCTGCTCTTTGAATATTGCTCCAAGGGCTTTGAAACTATTTGAATAACCACCCTAAAATGCACATGCTGTACATAAGCTAAGAGATATTGTTTTGCTTATTAAAGAATTTATAAACATTGTATTCTGTAACCGTTTGCAATATATAGGTGTCATAACATTCCAGGGATTATGAAAGGGCAGATAATTAAAATGAGATGGTTGCCAAATTAAAACAACGCAAGCATTTCTTTGACTCTTTGATGTTGGTTCCAAGGTTTTAGCTGCTTCTGTGAAAACTGCTATATTGTCATAGGTGACGCCTCTGGGTATTGTCAGTTTGAGCAAAAGGCTAATAACATAAAGATCTTTAAAATAATTATCTCCTTTTACTTGAGCCGTATTCAGTGGTGGGATTCAGCCAGTTTGTACCACTTCGGCAGAACCGGTAGCTAATTTTTTGTTACCCAGGTCCAGAATGGACTTCCAGAAGCGGCATCCACACAGAGAACTGGTTGTTCACCTATTTGAATCCCACCACTGGCTGTATTGTTTGTCTGATTTTGTATTTTTTTTTCCTCCCAAGCATGAATTTTGTATTTTTTTTCCTCCCAAGCAATAAATCTTAGCAAGATTTATTGAAGTGAAATAAGCAATGATGCAAGCATTCCAGCAAGTGAACCCATATATTCAGGTGTCTCTTATGTCAGAAATTTTCTGAGTCTTTTTTCTCACAGGTTTAAAGTGGACCCAACAGGAGTAGGTGGGTCTGGATGGTTTCTGGATGGCAATTCTTTGACTTCTTAGTCTGACAATAAGTTTTTACACTATATTCTGTTGATGAAATAGTATATTAACAATCAAGCTAAAGAATTCAAGAAGTGCTATTCTGGAGCTGAACAGCAGATAGAAAGGAAAGTCGCTGATTTTTTTTAAGGCTGTCCTACAACTTCAGGGTAGTAGCACATGCTTAAGAGTTGATGGGTGAAGTTCTGTCATTGTGAAGGGAAGTGTTGAACTATTTTTGACAAGCTGAAAGTCCTCACACGACAATCTGAGAGGTGTAATTGCTGTTTGTTATGCTGTTTGTTTTATTTGTGAGGGAGCTTTGAAAAGTTGCTGCTCAGGATAGTTCATCATTTTTGGCATTATCCATATGTGTGCTGTGGGGATGGAGTTACTTTTATTCTTACTTTCAATATGTATGTGAGCATTGCCCAACTATTTCTGTACTATTCTAAGGGCTATAACACGGCTGCAAGATCTGGGTATCCCTAATTTAATGAAATGAAGGACTAGGGGTGACATGATAGTTGTCTTCCAGTAGTTGAGGGGCTGTCACCGAGAAGAGGGGATCAAGCTATTCTCCAAAACACCTGAATGCAGGACAAGAAGCAATGGATCAAAACTTATCAAGGAGAGATCCAATCTAGAACTAAGGAGAAATTTGTGGACAGTGAGAACAATTAACCAGTGAAACAACTTGCCTTCAGAAGTTGTGGGTACTCCATCATTGAAGGGTTTGAAGACAAGATTGGATAGCCATTTGTCTGAAATGGTATAAAATGTCCTGCTGAACAGGGGGGGTTGGATTAGAAAATGTCCAAGACCCCTTCCAACTTCTGTCCTGTCCTGTCCTGTCCTATCCTATCCTATCCTATCCTATCCTATCCTATCCTATCCTATCCTAATTCCTCCACAATGCCCCGGAGAAATGGAAAAACCCAATTCTACATGGGTAACAATTTGAGAAGGAGAAATTGATGGCAAGTTGCTTTTTTATGTCCAAAGGAAGTAATTCTAAAGATTCAGCAATACAGCT